AAAAAAAAAAAAAAAAGCAGAATCGCATACCGAAATTGATGAAAACCTCAGGGAAGGAGGTGAGAAAGCCGCGGGAAGACGCCGGAGCTACCTCAGCGGCGTACACCGGCGCAATCATCAGCGCGTAGCCAACTCCAAGCCCCGCCACGAACCGCCCACCCATCAGCACCCAATAGTTGTTCGCAAACCCCATGATAGCGGCCCCGGCGAAAAATATCACCGACGCAATCACGATGGTTACCCGGCGGCCGAGCCAATCGGAGGTCCGGCCGGCTATGGCGGACCCCAGCAGCGAGTAGATGTTGATTGTACCCACCAGAATCTCGATCTGCTCGTCCGTGACCTTCAGGTCCCGCTGGATGTAGAGCGTCGCCCCACTCATAACCCCCGTATCTGAAATTTTAATTTCAAAACATAATCGCTCAAATACCTAATCGAAAAAATTGGGGAAATCTGGAAACAGGAATTTGGGGGAAAATTGTTTATGGAAGAATGAAGGAATGAAATTACCATATCCGAGAAGGATGGAGGTCATCGACGCCATTACAGAGATTAGCAGAGCGTACATGTTTTTCTTGGGCTTATCGATGAGTGGTTTCTTAGGCGAACCGTCGGAGATATGGCTGTCGGCCCTCGCCACCGTCTTCTCGGCCATGGCTGGAGCTCGGAATCAGGAAGAAGACGACAAATGAGCTAGCAAAGAGATAAGGAGATATTTTGTGTGTGTTCTCTGGTGGGTGGGTGTTTTTTTTCTGTTTGAAGAGTCAGAGACTCAGATATGTGACCTTACAGCTGTGAGAGTGAATTTGAATGAATTTATTGGTTTGATTATGGGAATTTGGGCCTTATATAGCATTTTTTTTTAGAATTATTATTAGATAAAAAGTGGATAATTACTGATAAGGGTGTTTATTTATTTAAATTTTTTTATTTGTTGCCTGTTGGGGCCTGATATGTAGAGCTAGGTATTTGATAATATTTACAACTTTTCTATTTAATCTCTTATTTATTTATTTTTTATGTAATTTATATGTAGGTCAGCTTACATTAGTGCAGTGTAACAGTATATTAGATTAAAAAAAAAATACAAAATCAAATGAAGACACTACTATATTAATTTAGTGTTGTAACAGTATTTGAAATTAAAATTTGAATTATATTTGAAAATTAAATTGATTCAAGTAATAACAAATAGTGTTCTAACAGTATTTGAAATTTGAAAATTGATTCATTACTATATTAACTTATTGTTAACAGTATTTGAAATTAAAAATACAAAAACAAATGGTGTTAGACATTACTATTATACTATATTTCTTTTAATTAAAATTTGAGTTATATTTATTTTGTACAGTACAATCCAATTACTAATATAAATAGTATACAATCCTAGCAGCTAACCAAATTAAATTGGAAACTCAAATTCTAAAAGTAGCTTTCGTGTCGTGCGCTTCATTTTGGTCCGAACTGTATCTATTGTGACACGCGTCCTATACCATCATCTTTGAAATTTAAATTGATTTAACTAATAACAATCATTAAAAAAATTAATTTGAGTATAGTTTGGTACAGAATTCTATCTGAACACGTACTTTTTCTACAATTATATTTTGAGGATAGTTTGGTACAGAATTCGATTACGGAAAGTTTAAGAAAAATAATCTGCATACATTTGATTGATAAGTTGTCACTTCAGTGTTGGCCACGGCCGTCCCGGTCCCGGCTTCGCCCGCAACCGGCGGTTTCGAGAATGCCATTGTGGTTTTACGGGTCATTTTTGGGTCCTTTTTTTTGTCCCGATGGTCCGGGACCGAGCCGGGACGACGGACCGGCCCTTGGATTTTGACGGACAGAGGCCAGCCGGCCCGGCCCGGCCCGTTGACTAACCATGTCTAGGAGACTAGGACTACCTTATAGTCAAACTAAAATAAATATTATTTGATCATTTTTTATAATTGGGCTGTACCCGGCCCATTTGTTGCCCAGACCTGGACATGCTAAGAAGGAGGCTTTTAAGGATAATTGGTCCAACTTCAAAAGGAGAGTTGTTGTTAGGCCCGGGAGAAAATTATAAAGAATAGGAAATTCTGTTACGGAACCATTTCGCGGGGTTTGTAATCGTTAAATCAATTATATTAGACGGTTACATGATGACCTAACGATTATAAACCCCGACGAAATAGTTCCGTAACGGGACCGTAGCATTTCTCTAAAGAATAATGCAATCTATATATATATAGTTGCTGGCATATAGCATTTAATAAAACCTAATTAATAAAACCCTATTCATTTTCCCGCTCATTTTTTCAATTAATGTAGAACCGTTACATTTTACATTAATAAAGTGTAATAATAATTTTAAACTAATTTATTCACTACTAGCACTAATTGATTACAACTTTACATTAAATAGTATGTGGAAGTTACATACTTATAAAAAATTGTATTGTAATTTTTTTCATTAAAATACTTTTTCTAAAATAAAATATTTTTGTCTTTTTAAGTGATTTTTATCTAATATTAGTTAATTGGCATGAGTGTCAAGAATTAGACACCTTAAAATCACATAAACAAATGCTATAACAATTATAAATATCAATTGTAATACTTTTCTAACTAATTAATTGTATGGTCCCTCTAAATTACTAAATTATATTAGTCATTAAAATTTATGGCATCAATATAAAGATTCATACGTAAGTTAAATAAATTATATTTACATTACACATTTGCATGTAGTCAAAATTTAAAATGTAACACATTAAATATATAATATATGATTTTTATATATTGCATACATATAATATATAGATTTTTATTTTTCTTTGTTCATGTGCACAGACATACATATAATATATAGATTTTTATTTTTCTTTGTGTATGTGCACAGAATGAATACTAATTTAGTGATAGAATTGGAAAAAAATATTCCATGTGATTCCAATATCATAATATCCATCCAAGTAATTTTATGAGGGAGAGAGTAGTTGGGGCAGTAAAACGATGGCCCTATTACTCGAACACTTATCCCAATAACACAGATTAGATACAATGATGAGAGCATAGCATATAGATAGATTTATAAGGTACATCGGTGGATTAATTAAT